TCTTTAATTGGAAACAACTCGAGCCGTACGCGTTTGAGTACGCGTCAAAAAGTAAATATGTCTGAGGCCACCCTTTCCCATGGTCGAGTTGGTAGAGAATAGGATAATAGATTCTGTTTGGGATTTTTTCTAGAAAATTTCTCACAGATTTCGCATGATTGAATAAATGACTCAATCTCCATTGATAAACCAGGCCAGTGAAAAATTCTACGCAATTGTGCTTTAGTTTTCCCTATTCCTAAGTGTCCCTCATGTAATGAGGATAGCATTTTTTTCCTTAGTGATTTGGGAACTAGAAGTTTGTGTTCTAAAAATAATAAATCATTGCAACTAACTAAGTGTTCTTTGAGTTTAGCAACAACGCGAACTGATTCTGGATTTTTTTTTTATTAGTTGGCCAACCATTGACGATGAAATCCGAGAGTATTTTCAGTTGTGAGTCATTTTTGGTTTCTTTTCTAAATTTTTTTTTTCTTCCCTCAGACATAGGTAACGTATTAACAATAGATTCAATTTCTGAATCAGATCTGACATTTTTATTTTTTAAATAGGCCCTTGAAACTGCATCGGATATATACCTACATAATATGTTTGCCTGGCTTGTAGGAAATTGTCAAATTGTAACTTAAAAGTTTTAGCCTCATTGTCAAAATTCTTGGCGAAATTTTTTGTCTTTTCGTTTTTTTTTTTTAATTGATCCCAAGGGTTTATAGTCGCAATGCACTCCAACAGGAAGGCTATAAATGAATTATTGAAATTTTTTAGCACCAAATAAGAAAGCCAGAGTTTCTTTTTCTATTTGAGTATACTGTTGTTCTGTTTTGGTTAAACTCCTTGCTAAAAATGCAATACACTTGCCCTCTTGCAAAAGGCTTGCTCCCAAGCCATCTTTTGATGCGTCGGTTTCTAATGCAATACTCTTTTTAATATTGAAGAATGCCAAAACTGGAGAATGAGTCATCTTTTGACAATCTGCAGTCCATTCCTAGCCATCATCGATCCTTGTTAGATTTCTAAGTGAAGCAGACACTTTCGAAAGATTTGGTACAAATTTTTCAACAAATTTAACCATCCCTGAAAATCTTAGGACTTCTGGTTTGAATAGTGGTGTTGGCATATCTAGGATATTAATTTGAAAAAGTAGTCCATGACTCAAAGTGGAGTTGAAATTTGAAATCAAAAGAAACACAGAGTCTTCCTTCACACAAATTTGTAATTGAAAAATTAAAGAGCTCTATATGTTTCGAAGCTATAGAGCTTCATCATCAGGGGCAAGTTTGCTCAATATTACTTAAACAGTTCTACGTCATTTAATTTGAAGCCGCGGAACTAAGCATTTGGTAGAGGAAAAACCAAAAAGATTTAGAAAAAACATCTACATTTAGACAAAGGAAATTTACCTAATTTAAACGAATACTAGAAAAGTTTATTAGTTTAATTCATGTTTTACGTTTTATGTTTTTACAATTTTAACTAGTATTCGTTTAATAACTTAAATGTCCTATATTCTATCGCGAATGGTAAACTATTATTTAATCGACTCAAAACTCGTTGTTAAAGTAACACTTTATTTGAAGTAGTGGAATCGAACAATTTTTACCCACTCATTTATCAATTTTACCCACCCATACGTCAATTTTACCCACTCATACGTCAATTTTACCCACTTGTTCAAATCTTTCATAATAATTATAGTGTTTTTGACAGAAATCTGATATGTTGCATGATTGACAACACCAGAAATGTGTCAGTTTGTTAGGTACTTTGTCAATTTGCCATAATCTATGTAAAATTTTAGCACATTTTAATTTATGATTTTAGTAATGATGATAAATAAAAAGTGGCTCAAGAATAAAATAGAATATTACACACGACGGTAACAAAGCTTTACCTGTTCGTGGAATTAATACACTCGCTCCTTCGTCGCTCGTGAATCAACATTTCCCACTCACAGGTAAAGCTTCTTTTTACCGTCTTGTATAATAAATAACTATTTCTGGAACACTTCCGGTGCCGAGTATATGCCAAAAGCCGTAAACCGATACCTGCCAAACAGAGTACCAAAAGTCATTAGATCATCTCTCATCATCTAATTCAATCTGCCAATATCCATCTTTCATATCAAGTAGGTACTGTGAACTACCTACTGCTTGTTGCTCAATTTTGCCGCAATTTCATCAGCAGATGGAATTATAAAATGCTCACGCTTCATCACACTATTCAATTCCTTTGGATCTGGGCAGGTCACGGTCACCATTGGGCTTTTCCACAATAACCAACGGATGCATCCACTCCGTGGGTTTGTCTACTTTCTTGGTGATTCCTTCTAGCTCAAGATCACACAACTTATCTTTTAATTTATCATGCAATACTTTTGGCACTCGCCTGATGTGTGGTTTTGCACCTTCCTGCAATGTTATGTGATGCTGGATAGGGAATTTGCCTAATATTCCAAAAACTTTCGAATATTTTATAAGTATGTACTCAAGGCTGTTAAACCTAACTTGTTCTTTTTCTACAAAATCTACTCGTTTAAGTCCTAGCAATGGTATTTAATTAACCGGTTCAACTACTACAGATAACAGAACTTTAAACTTGTTTTTTGTAGAACAAATAAGTTCAACTTTTCCTGAGCTTTTGATTTTAGCATTAGAGCTACCATTACCATAAGGAATCAACGAAATATTAGATTTAACATATGCAGCTTCTGGGACTACCTTCTTAAAAATGTTGATTGGTAAAACACTGACTTCTGCGCCTGTGTCTATTTTAAAAGTGACTGAGCTATTGTCAATGAATACTTGTTCCTCAGACTAAACTTGTTCAGTCCACATGGTTGTTTTAGTTTTATTTTTTATAGCATTCTTACCTGACTGGTATTTTTTGCATTTTTCATGAACTGAACTGACAAAAAACTCGTATTCTCCACTTTCATTGTCACTATCATCATCACTACTACACTCTGGTGTTACATATTCTGCGACTTCATACACTCGATTCTTGATTCCATTTTCTTTTTTCTCTATATTTTCCTTTCTTCTTTCACTTTGAATACTTTGGCTAGGTATCTTGAGATCTTTCTTTTATTTTTTTCTTGACATTATTTTCTTTGCACACACTGGCAAAGTGGTTCCGGCCTATGCATCTAGCACTTTTTTTTCCATCTTCCACTGGCATGGTCGTACCCACAAAACTTACATGAAACTAGTTGATAATTAGTTGAATGTCTTGATGATCGCAATTCATGAATACTGGACTCATTCTGTAGAGCTATAGATTGAGTTGTATATACTTGCTTCAATTGCTCTGCAGAACTCGATTGCTTTAGTTAGCGTTAATGGTGACTCGCGCAAAAGTCTTTTTTGAGTGGATTAATCGAATATTCCCATGACTATCCTGTCACGAATCATCTGCTCTGGTTCTGGATATTCTGTTGTGCTTACTGCCTTTCGAAGCTCGGTAAAGAAATTGTCAAAGGTCTGTCCTTCTTACTGAATCACACTATTGAACTTAAAACGTTCAAAGATAACATTTTTTTTTGGAGAACAATACTCTGAGAATGCTTTAAACACATTCTACCCCACGAATAAAAAAGAGCATTTGCTTTTTCTCCCAAAATATGAAGCAAATGCTTCATCCAGTATGAATAGAAGTTCAAGCAAAACCTCTTACTTAAAACTCGGAAGCCAGTGCTCCAGAAAAAAGCAAATACTCTTTTTCTCATAAATAAAAGAGAGTATTCGCTTCACATTGGAAGCATTTACTCCTTGAAAAATGCATAATGCATCTGCTCAAGAGCAGATGTATGTTTACTATTTTGGTAAATTATTTTCGAATATTATCATTTCCCGTTTTCTTGTAGATTGTAGATTGTATTAGTAGGCCAGTCCTATTAGGGTTTGACCCGGAAAAAAATAATATACTTTGGTAGATTTTTTTTTTTTTTTACGGATATGCGCAAAGAAAATGTCCTATCACGCTCGCAGAGATATTCTATTTAGTGTACTGAACAACATACTAAAAGTCCTAAGAAGTCCTATGCCGGCTTCATGAAGAAAAAGACATAGGCGGGGTTTTATACAGGATATTATTATATGCATATATTGTGTATTGCTGTGAATACCTATATAACTTCCGCTGTAGAGCCGGCTTAGCAGATCTACTGATAACTTTCTCTCTATTTGGGTGTTTAATATATGGCTGCAAAACGTTAGTAACCAAAAACTCTTCTCGATGGAATCAATGTATGGACCAATTATAGAGTATGCAACCATCATTTTGACAAAACTAGCGTTTAATTGGACGAAGTGGTGCAGATTTCGAAGTAGGAATAGGTTTGCAGAAACAGGAGTTTTCATGCAAACCAAGTCGATTGAACAGTGATTTCAATTTATCATGAGTCAGTTAAAACAGCAAAAAGTTGCACCAAAAGGACGGAGATAGTCAACAGAGAAAAACGTTTTTGTTTCAGGACTACTAGAACAAGGGCTATAAGATTTGCTTAGTAGTGTGCCAATCGAAACTGGCATTAACAATATAATTTTTCAACAATTGAAAAAAACTGTATATAAAATTAAAAGGCTAGACAGGTACTGCGCACAATTATTTTTGATGAAATATCTCTGGATCCATCTGTATACAGTATAATCCTGGAGAAGATAAGTTAGATGGCTTCGAAGACAATGAAGAAGAAAATAGAACCAATAAGTTAGCGGATGAAGTTATGATATTTATGGCGAGAGGGCCAGTTCATTTTGTTCATGAACAAATGCTTTGACAGCGCTAATGGTGCCAGAGTTAAAAATTACCTGATGTAAACGACCTCTGATGTACTGATAAAAATGGTCCACTTATGACAAAAGAATTGATTCTTTTGCCACTTTTATCTTTAGAACAAGGACAATTACTTTCAGCGAAAATATTTGCTTTTATGTTGAGAAAACATGGATTCTTGCAGTAAGTTCAAGATTCTTTTGCCATTTGATGCTTTTAAGGGGAAATCAATTTGTAGCCGTGAGTTTTTGTGGTGCGTGTTGAAGTATAGATTGTAAAATCAACAATGAACGTGAAGGAATTATTAAATAGTTGGCGTCTGGACCATTTATGGCCAAAGTTTGAAGGTAAGTTTGAGTACCTATTCAAGCCATACCGCATGCATTTATGTCGCCATTTCGTGTAGGCCAAATTTATTTACCTATAGCCTGCTCGCGGATACCATTCGACCAGGTTTTGCCCTTTATCATTTCGTTTACCATCACCAATAATATTTGCCCTTGTGTCTATGTACCACAAGATAATTTGAATATAATAATCAATGAGGCCTCCAAGTTGCTTTTGTTATAGAATTGGCGGTAATGGCGCATTTTAGGTCTAAGGCACTTGTCACAAAAGAATGTCTGACTCTTCACAAGATCGTACAGCCTGTGGCCATCGGGCTAAAGATCTTTGCCTTAAGACTCATGACTTTGTTACAAAGAATTCCTAATTTTCCTGCAAAAATGCTTTTCTCTTGTGGTAGGTACACAAGTGTCAATAATTTTATTTGGATTTTGGCTTCTTAATGCAAAAAAGTGTGCAATTTACTAGATTTGAAATGCTCTTCAAGTCTATAAAGTTTAAATAATTAACTTCTAGTTAAGTAGTTACCTACCGACTATTTAAAAACCTTGCTTGCAATTTTTACTGAATTTCAGGAAGCAACAGTACCTAAAAAAATTGAGTTACCGACAGAATATAACATATCAGAATCGTTAGAAGCCTATCAGATAATCAGTACAGAAGAAAACATCAATTTAGCTGAAATAGAAGATATTCCAATCGTTTTCATCGCTGATGGACCCTTATCTGAAGAGGATGAGGGTAAATCTTTCTGTTATACTTACTTATCCTTGGAATTTCACATCTACTGTGCAATATTTTTGTAACAATGTTACCATTAAAATTAAGTTGTTTTTTCTTTGCCTTATTATTATTTTTCTTATATGTTGACAATAGCACTGTTTTGATGTATACCTCTATAATGTATTCTAGCAGAAATTAGTTTTGTTTTTTATTTATTCTTTCAAATAAATATAATATGTTTGTATAGAAAAACAATTTTTTTTTTGGAAGCAACCCTGTATATGCCATGGGATACTTTTACTTCGAAATTATTGACGATTTCCAAAATTATGTTTGAAAGTGTGTGGAGGAACAGTAGCATCTAAACATGTCGCTATACATAGGATTCTGCACCCAGGCAAATTTCTTTGGTCTCCTCAAATTGACAGTTGTGAATGTTATGTTTTTTTTTTTCAAGTTAGTTGAAAAAACTTGAAAAAAAACAATAAAAAAACAACATAACATAATAAGACATTCACAACTGCCAATTTAAGCTGACCAAAGTAATTTGCCTGATGGGTGCCGAATCATATTGTGGTACCTAAGGCAAAATATTCATTCTCTTCACTCAAAGTACCAGCAATTTTAAGACAAGAAACCCATAATTTGTAATAGGTAACCTAATTCTTAGAATAAAGTTCACGGTGGTCTTACAATGAGAAATGGAATTTGTAACAATAGACTACATTTTTTGGCCCAAATTAAGGATATCTTTAAATTAAGAAACAAAACTGCATAGAAGAGATTAAATCTTTTCACTCAAAATTCCAGGGAATTTATGCTCTTGCCTCAAGATAATATTTACTTTACAAGAAATGTGAGTTTCTTGAGCTAGACTCAGATTCTCTTGGACAAAATGAATAATGTGGAGCAGTTGCAATGTAATGTTGCTCTTATGGCAATTCCACCATTCATTTCGAATATATCAGAAGAATAAATAATTTGGGTGAATGTCAAATTCCTTTAACATAAAGGATCCTTTTTATCAGTGTGACTTCTCCCCAGTATGGCCTTTCCGGAAGACGCTATAAATTTTTTTGAGTCGATTAAATTTCTAAAAAGCAACAATGCAAAGTATGTGGCTCCTTCAGTGAACAACTGGATTCACACATTAAAGGGATTTCGGTATCCCTGGCAATAATTAAAAGAGAATGGCTTCAGCTTGCTTTCGATAGGAAATTTTATTCGGCAGTTTGAGAAATCATAGATTAGGAAATATCAATCCCACATGCTAATAATTTATTAACTCATTCAAAGATAATAAATATAACTTTCTATAGCCACATTCTCCAGGATCTAATTGCGAGAACGACGAGCGGGTAACAGTAGATCCATTAAGTTGTTCTGGGAAATCGAGTAATAAATGTGGATCAATATTACAAGTGCCAGATTTATCAATACCGAACACTTTTTTCCAGATACTAGGCCGTCAATAAATAGAGGTACAATGGCGTTTATTGCACATTACATGACTTAAAATTCAAGTTGATATTAACATCTTGCAAGTCTTTTTGAGGTAATGCTCTGAGTGAAGAACTAACGGCCGGGTGTAAGGACATTTAGGTCTTTAGGATCCTCTGAGAGGAGGGTAATTAGCCTGGAATCCAAACACGATACCACCTGTACAAGGATCGTTTCAAACTCCTCATATGTCAATTTTTGCACCTATCACTCTTCTAATATGAAATTTAGCTGCCCTTATAACTGATTCCAATAACATCCCAAAGTAAGGTGAGCGTGGCGGGATAAAATTCCACCTTATATTGCCTTGCTCAAAAAAATATTCTGAGAAATGCATCTGAGTAGAGGTATCTTGTAAAAATGTGTAAAAGAATGTTAATTCATTATTACTACCAATGAAATTTGTAGCATTATCCGAATAAATGCTGGCGCACAAACTTCGACGTCCTATAAATATCTTAAAGCAGTTTAAAAATGCCGAAGCAGTCAGATCACTAACAATCTCCAAGTGCCAGAAAGTACAGTCTGCGTCTGCAGTAAACACGCCTCAATTTTAAGTTTAGCGACGCTGCCACGTCTTTCGATCATTCCTTGATACGCGGTTTTAGCTAAAATAATATAAACTCAGTAGGTAAGTACCATTACATCCATAGGGCCCTAATAGCAAAGTTATATGCGTTATTGTAAGGACAATAACTTTTTTATTTTGTCAAAAATTACATGGAGCCGGCATATTTCGCTTTAGGACTTTGAGTATGTTTTTCAGCAGGACACTAATTTAACTAGTCCTGCCGATTTTCAGATTGACATTATTTTTTTCTAGGTTTTGGTGGATGGTGAAATTTGAACTATTATGCCTGGGCTATAATACTCATGCTGCCTCTTCAGTCAATACTAGAAGTTCACATGTGATTCATCTACCGATCCCCACATCATCACAGTCAAAAATCTATCCACTACAACAGTAAAAAACATTTTTAATCACCTACCTCATAGCATAAGAATAAAAAAGGATAGTGGATACTTACTACAGCTTTTTACTTTCTAGAGGAATACTTCTCATCTCCGCTATCTACTAGTTGATTTGCCCATTTTGTTGATGTTTTTAATTGTATGATATTGTATCGATATCTTAGTCCATATTGGAAGCTTTGTTATCAAGATTTGTATCTTTAAACAATAAAGCATATTAGGATTTGATTCCATTTGACAAGCTAGAGACCTCTTACTATCTACTATCTTCTGAGAAACTAAACTGGTATTGAATAATAATTAACCATCATCTTTAAAAACAGAAATGCTGAATAAATCAAACTAAATAGAAACAACAGAGTAATATTACTGACAAAATGTTTTTCTGCAAAATATTATACCTACATATATTGCAAGTCTATCGGCATAAATAGAAATAACTCTCAGAGGCCATGAAACTAGGAGGAATATTACAAAAAAAAAAAAAACTTTCTTCTCCAAGACCAAATAGAAGACCCAACATTCAAATCAAGTTTAGTGTAGGTATTATTCCTTACTCTCAATGCAATGAAAGCTATGTTGAGCAAACTGGTAGATCTTTGAAGCCATGACTAGAAGAACACCAAAATGACCAAAATAACTTTCCGACTTGACTCGATGAGCATTAATGGCACCTGAACTAGAAACTAAAAGACTTGAAGCAGAGATTATCAAAATCCGAAAAGATAAATATTGCTTTAACACATAAGAACTTACATTCAAAATTAAAGTATTGCCTATTTTAATATTTCATCAACAACAATAATGATTATTAATATTATTATTTTCATTGTGATGCCATTCTTGTGCTCCTTTTTTGAATTCTCGCGAACGATAGGATAAATAATTCTTTCATAAAGAATACCCATAAAGAAGAGCTGCGGGATGATTTTTAATGATTGTGTTTAATCTTTTTCCTGTACATTTTGAGATTTTAATTCAATAAGTAACCCTAAAGTGCATTTTGCAACCTGTAACAAAAATTACTCTACTGCCCAACGTTATACCATTCTTTGTAGTGTCCTGAATCCTGAAAATGCAATAATATAGTATGAAACATCGATGGTGCTAAATAACGACCTCCGATATTTTATTCCGATCTAATCCAACAAAGTGTTATGCAACTTGATTTTTATTAAATAATTTATTTACAGTCATAATCTAAAATCCTAAAATCTAATGATGAAGATGTCCGGGTCTGTAAGATCCATCATCGTACAATTTTTCACTGATGTCGTGTACGTAGGCACCTTCAAGACCGGAACCAGCTGGAGTCAAACCGTAAGGAGAATTAGCCAAAGGAATAGCCCTCAATTCTGGTCTGTAGCTGCCGTCATCGTACAATTTTTCGTTAATGTCTGGAACGTAGGCACCTTCGAGACCGGAACCAGCTGGGGTCAAACCATAAGGAGAATTAGCCAAAGGAATAGCCCTCAATTCTGGCCTGTAGGAACCGTCGTCGTAGAGTTTTTCGGTGTAGTCGTGCAAGTATTGTCCTTCAGGAGCGTGAACGGCAACTGAAGCTACTAAGGGGGAAGCTACGTATCCATGACTGAGACCAGATACATAGCTGACATGTGGCGAAATGATTCCAGCGCTAGCCATAGCGATGGCTCCCAAAACTACGACTCCCTGAAAAAAAAAAACACACACATTTATTGAAGAGGCTTCTAAGGTCTAACTAAAAAGTATCAGATAAAACGGCATTCCGCAATTTGTTTCGTAGAAACTTTTTTCTCATTTTGAAGAGCAAAAAAACCTGCCTGCAATATCTTGGGAGATTCTTTTAGTAATACAATAATTGATATTTCTACCATGTCGCTATCCACCAGTACCAGACAAAATGTTTAATCGTCATTATCTAAAAGGTACCATAAACTTGAATAATTGCACCAATTGTGTGTTTAATATAGGTAGGTGTAGGTAGGTACCTACATAGAAATTACTAGTTGTTTTAATATGAATTACAATTACCTACTTGCTACAATATTCTATTTCTTAAAATTAAATTTTTACACGATTGTTTGTAACTTACTCATCAAATTGCGAATTCTTTTACATTTCGTAACTAGTTACGAAAAGTGAAACATTTCAAAACTTGAACCGGTTTTTACTTCATTGTAAAATTTAGCAAAAACTATATCTATTATATGTACATAGAAAAAACCATGGTAAATAAAAAGTAAATGAGTATATAAAAAATTAAACATGATAGGAATTAACTAATTCACAGGCCAATATTTACGTAGGATGTAAAAGATGAAAATTGATAAAAATAACAAAAAATACTTTAGAAGAGTAGAAGAATCATCAGTGATAGAAGGAGAAAAAACAAAAAAAAAAAACATAATAATAAAATAAAACTTTCTAAAAATTTAGAAGAAAATAAGTGAACGCGAACGCCAAAGAACAAAAATGAATAAAGAAAAACAGAAAAAACACTGGGGTGACAAAGCTTTACGAATAGTCAAATCGAATACTTCCTCGCTTCCCAATTTAATAAAACGTTTAAGTTCCTATACGCTTTGACAAATTTATAAAAATTTTAATTGTTTGAGTACTTTAAAAATAAACTTTCATCGATGAATGAGAATATATCATCTTTGGACTCACTTGTACATATTCTAGACTAGAAGAAGGCTTCCAAAATGGGTGTATATTCATTGTAATTACCATACGGCATTGCTGCCGTGGGCGTGGCAGTTTGTTTTCATTATAAGAATTTTCTTTGTGCAATAATCATGACAAACATTTTTATAATCACCCATTTTTTGAAGCCTTCCTTCAATGCACACACATAATAAAATTCACTTAACAATAAATTACACTATAACAATAACGAATGTAAAATTTAGGCCACTTACACTGACGAATGCGTTCATTTCGACCTTGTTGCTGTTCTGTACAAACCCGAACAAGAGTGATACGAAATTTAGTTCCGTTTTCCAATTTATATACGATTTTGTTTAACCTTGCGTCTTTTCGTCCTCGCCCAAGCTTCAAAAAAAAAAGTTGGCTGGCGAAATTGTGTGGTCCAGGATGACCGATGGCATTTCCGGAACCAAAACTGGCATATCTGGTTTATTTATTACAATAGATTGTGAACTATAACAAGCAATCGTCTGAAATTTATATTGAAATAGGCAGAAAAAAATTCTGGTTTTAACTAAAAAGTTGTAGTATTTTTTCAACGTTTATGAAGATTTCTCCTAGTTCTGGAAAGAGCTACCTACCAAAACATTCCAAAATTTTACTAATACCTACATACTATACCTATTGTTGAAGAGAGCTACAATGGTAGGTTTAATTTAAAAACATGATAGTAAAGGTTTAACCTTTCTGTGACCAACAATTGTTGCATTGCTTTTGCAAAATAAGCAACAGTGACAACTGCTTTACCTTGCAATACATTTTTTTTATAAAATAAAATGGTCTGTTAAGTAAGGATCTTAAAAAATGCATAATATGTATACACTTTTATGGTAATATCTAATACTCGGGCCAGCTTGAGCTTTGATTTTAGATTGGAGATATTTTGTAGGCTATAGCTACTTGTAAATCTATATTTTGTGAGCTATTGATAATGTTAGTTGAACTTCACATAGATATCGCATGCAACTATTCCTAAATAGAAAGTTCAAATTCGTAAGCACAGATTTCTGTGGTATCGCATTCTAGTGGGCCATATTATATTTAATTAATAACTCCTCGGATTTCAACTACATGCTATAAAATATTAAGTTGAATAATATGGAAATCATGAGTTCACCTCAAACACACAAATTAGTAATTTTGCTCCTTATACAAAAAAAAACACATTGAATTTTCATCTCTAATCTTTAACTGAGCAAGAATTTCAAAAAATTAAACGCCAAATCCTCAGTAGGTAGGTACATCCTAATTCATTATCAAATAACGCTACTACCAAGCGTGTTTCATGAATGAACGTATATTCTACAAGTCATTATTTAGGTTACGTTCATTGAAAGCGAGAGTACCATCGTAGTAGCATCGCCTGAGGATGGCACGATTCATCCGTAAAGTCATTGACTTTATAATCGCAGCATATGTCAGAAATGATATAAATAGATACGTTAAAGGAGGCAGGAACTGTTGCAAAAAATTAAAAATAGCCCAAATTGTAGCTGTTGAAATTTGCAGAAGTATAGTTTCATTGATACATTTTAGAGGAAGTGAAAGGTTTTGAGGAAGGTTCAAAATAAATAATAGGTATTTGGAAATACATAATGTAACCAGGAATCGAGATGACAATATAAATGATCTTCGAGATGGAATAATGCATATTTTCGAAAAAAAATTACGCTCTTAAGTCTTAGACGCGCTTGGAGCTATCAAATTGAAACAATATCTCAAGAACATAGTCCATTTCGTTTCAGTAATATTTTAAGATTTCTCCTTTGTCGTTTAGTGCTTAGTACTCACCTTATTATAAGTTAGGAGGGTAAATTGACGTCCATTTGAATTTCCGTATTGCAAATGAGCTAATGCCAAAATATGGCTGTAGTTTTTTCATAATAATTCTCAAAGGGAGATTGGTTTATTGATTCAAATTTGAACGGGTTTTGCTGCATCAATAACAAACCAAGCAAAATTGAGTAGAATACAAGGGTTTAAGTTACCACTCGCGAGACTAGTTTCGACTCGTGTCTGCCTTGGAAAGAATCCACATCCATATCATCATAAATGATAAATCATTAAAGATGGGACTTGAAATTAAGGGGTTGAAGCCCTATAGGCTGACATATGATCGCATTTCAAAGCTTTTTCAAACGAGCCTGTAGCTTCAGTCAAGACCGTGCTGAGGAATCACATATTACGTAAGGTGACCCCATTGACGCAAGACAGCTCAGATAGTGATTGGAAGGTTAATAAAATTAATCTGGTCACCATTAGAAAAGCTATGGAACTGCAATACGGAAGGCAAGTGGGAAACCGTGGCATTAGTTTCCTCAGGACATCCGTCCATGATTCGGATGAGTATCCGAGTTTTATTTTCTATCATTTTTATGCTAATTAGTATCACTGCAGTTATGGCGCAGGCCAATCAACATCAACATTTTGCAAGTGTTCGATCCTACATCAAGTAAAGCTGACGGAAAAATCGGAAGATTTTACAAACTTGAACAGGCCGTTGATTAAACAAATCCAAACGAAAAAAATATAGTCGCAAAAATAGGTGCAATCAGATTATGGCTTTGGTGGTAGCCGATTGCACTGTGGGTCAAAGCATCTAATATTGAACAGATTTTGTTAGAAGCAGGTGAGCGCGCAATGAAAGCGAATAATTTGATGGTATTTGATGATCCAGAATCTTCTGAGAACATTCTTAAAAGCAGAATTGACCATGACATGAAATTAGCAAAAGAAGTCTCTATTGTACTTGGCTTCCACAATGAAATAGCTGCTATTAGCAATGTCATCTGTGTAAAAAGGCCATCCAATCTAAACAGAAACTGGAGTCCTGATGTGCTTACAAAATAGCATATGATTGTACAAAAATGCAAGAAGCTGCCTACAAAGAAAATCGAGAAGAACTCTTACGAAGAAAGGATGGAGGGAAAGACCTAGTCATCAGATATATGAAGGATATGCCAGTGGTCGTCGCTAAAACTACCTCCCCATTAATGGTATACTACCAAAATTTCAGTGGCATTCGTACAAAGTTTGCGCATCTGAAATTAGCAGTTAGTAGGTCATCATATGATATTATAGTACTAGTCGAAAGCAATTTATGTGATAACTTCATGGACAGTGAGCTAGAGTGTTGTGTTTTCAACTTATTCCACTTGGATCAGTCTAATCTTACTAGTCAAAAATCTAGCGGCGGCGGACATTAGAAAATCAATAAGCCCTATGAGAATTTACATAAACCAGCACAATGTAGAACAGCTGTATGTTGCATGATGCTTCCATGAAAATAAATTTGTAATTACTGGTTTATACATACCTACCACCCAACATGCCGGATGTTTGCTACAATATGCACTTGTGAGGCAGTAGATCATGTGCTGGTCACTTCCAAATCTCAAAAAAAATTATATTTTTGGTGACTATAATCTACCTGAAGTGCATTGGTCAAATGATGAGTTTGGAAAGAAAAAGTCAGGGATCTAAAAGCCTTCAGTTTCATGATTTCTACTATGATTTCCGTAATGCTGATTTTTTGGAATTAAACAAGTTTCTAGGTTACCAAAATGGTTTTCACAGCAGCTTCGAAATCTTACTTTTCAGCACATAAAGCTTATAATGATGTTCAACTGAATACCTACCTTAATAATGTTAATAGAGAATTTAAAGCTAATCCAAACTATTTTTGGACATACATAAGGAACTTAAAAACTTCGCACGCCCTTCCTCAATCAATGTTTGATAATGGTCAATTGGCGGAAAATGGCCAAGATATTGTGGCCTTATTTAAACAATATTTTGAGACAGTTTACACTCCTAGCAACCTTGATGTGGAGGAGATAGTTTTTGATACACTAGTTGAGATTTCGGAGTGCTTCAAGTTTTCACATATTTCTGTTGAAGATATTTTTATATATAAGATATTTGATCTGCCAAATAAAAATACAAAAGTTCCGGATGGAATATCTAATATAATTCTAAAGGAGTTTATATGTTCATTAGTCAAGCATTATTTAAGACATTCTTAGATTCTTGTTTCTATCCGGACAAATGGAAACACAGCTTTGTGGTACCTATATACAGGGTGTCCGGAAAGTCAACGATAATACTGAAAGGGCTGATGAAGCAACTCGACCAACATTAAAAGTCAAAGTTGAAAATATTTACTAAAAAATCTTTTTAAAGTGAAGTATCGGAAGTATTCACTTTAAAGTGGGCCAGTAGTTTTCTGTCTGATCACCTGCAGCTGGTCAAGATTGGTTCTTTCGAATCAGAAGTGTCACCTTAGGAGTTCTCCAATGGGCGCACCGTTCTCTTCTGCTTTTTGATTTATTTAGTACAGTATATTTGAGTGTTTTGTGAGCAGTGACGGGCTGCAGTAGAGAAGATTTTAAAGCATATAGAATCATAAATTGCATGTATGATCAATCTTGACAGGCTGACTAGCTGGTGCACAGATAACAAGCCTTATCTGAATGTCAATAAATGCTGTTTTAGATATTAGTTTTTTCAAAGGCAAGAAAAAATTTTAGACTTCTTATACGTTAAATGGTGACACTCTGACTTATGTCTCAAAGATTAAAGATTTGAGTTTGTGGAACACATCCACAATGTCACAGTAAGCTCTTCTAAACTGTTGGGTTTTGTTTTAAGATATTGCAATAACTTTTCAGTAGACACTACTAGAAGTGTTCTTTAGTGCGTTCGAAGCTGGAATATACTTCAGTATAGTTTGCTCACCATATCATGCAGTTCACAAAACAACTATTGAACAAATTCAGCACAAATTTTTTAAGACATTGTGGATTTAGATTAGGACTTGAAATTGTTGATCATGATTATGCTGCCATTGAAAATCAGCTGAAGTTGGAAACTCTTTCAAACCTGCGAAACTCTGCTGGAGTGATTTCAGTTTGCAAATTGGTCAATGGTATAATCGATTGTATTGATCTCCTATTATGCATAAATAAAGACACACCGACTAGAAATAGAAGAGGCGATTTCGTGTCTTTTAATACTCCTTATCATCCTACTAACTACGGTCTATACTCTCCAATAGATAGATTTTGTAAGTTAATTAATAATTATCACATAGAGATATTTGGTTTAACATTATCTCAATTTATTTAAAAATCAACTCGATAGGATTACTTTCTAGAATGTCAATGGAACTGAAGTGCTGTATGTTTTTAGAATCAATTCATAACAATCTTAGAGTCATAACCATTTTTGTTAGATATACATATAAATAAACTGTTAATGGGGATTACCGTAAATAATTAAATAAAAAATTAAAAAGAAAAAAACGGGGAAAATAACTAATTCAGTTTTGTGAGGAA